TTGATTAGTTGTTGATTAATCGATTATTCTAACAACAAATCTATAAGTTATTCTGATGTGAGTACACTGGAAATTTAAAATGTTTAAAGACGATTAATCGATTATTAAATTAGTCATCGATTATTTTAATAATTGATTAGTTGTCGATTAATCGATTAATCGTAGCAGCCCTAGAAAATAGTAATAAAAACGAATAAAATGCTCACATTTCTTTAATGGGCTGAGTGCAGAGGCCGTTGAAGGCATTGGCAGGGACTGTGTCTACGCAGCTGTTGTCCTGCATGTCACTATACAGCACAAAAGAAATATATAAAAATAACAGAAGTACATTTTATGCATTTAAAAGCAGCAGGGACATGAAGCCTCGAGGGTCTAAAAATATAGAAATTAACTCTTTTTGAAGCTTAAAGATGTCYGATTAGAGATGACCATGAGCTGACGACTTTAAGCTGTTCTCTAAAGATCTCTGTATGTGTGCACAATTTAAATTCATCGTTACATGTCTGAAATGTGACATCCTTTAGGCATGTTTAATTTAATCCGTGGTTTCTGTGTGTGTGTGTGTGTTTCCTGTGCTGACACTCACAACAGAAAGCCTTGACTCGCAGATTGGATCTTGGAAAGGTTTGGGAAATTTTTCAGGCCCGTGTTGGAGATGATCCTGTGAAGAACCAACCGTTAAATGTTACTTCATTCACTCTGTAACCCACGAAGAACAGACGCTGTGTGATAAGAGTGGCAGTCATGAACACAACAAGCTTCATGAAGGTGAAACGACAACACTCCTCTCTGACATGTTGGGTGGAAATGATCACCTATCAAAACCATTTAACACAACTGGGATAATTTCATTTTATCTGATGTAATTAAACTCCAGTTTACAGCTTTCGTAGCAATTTCTTGTTGAAAAGGATGCGGTTGACATATCGAATTAAAAAGACACCAAATAATTTATTAATGATTAGAGTCTCACTTTTTAAGCTTACACTAAAACAAATTGTTGGATTTAACCAAGTCATATCAACAATTTCCTCTCAACAGAGTTGAAATGTGAAGTAACTTTCATATTTTCTTTTAAAATAAAACACAAAAGCTACTTTACATTTACTCAACTCAGTTSAGTGGAAAATGTTGATACAACTTTAAGTAAATCTAACAATCTGTTTTTTGAGTGTAACTTCATAAAACGCAAAAAGCTCCTGTTGTTAAAGCAGTGAATAAACCACAACTAAGTAATGTGGAAAAATTCACTTTTTGTGTAAACAACAACAACAACAACAACAGTAATAATAATAAAATCCCATTTCATTAACA